AAGTGTTACTCACATTTTGAGTGATAGCATGTCCATTATTTTTACATGAACACAATCAATAAATAGATTCCATGTTACTGTGCATCTGTTCAGTAATGGATTACTGATCATGTCAAAATGTGGAAAGAACAAAGGCACGTGAGGTTCACCCAAGTGTGTCACTGATGTTCTTATCACATTGACATCTTCTGTGAGCTATTACCCTACAGACCCCTTGTAACATAGAATCTATTGTTCCATCTGATAAAAGAGCAAAATACTATTTATTGTAATGTCATCTATGCAGACCTCATGCTCCAAACTTGTGTACTCTCCTTCTGTTTGTTCTCTGATGATGATCATATCTATATCATTGTGCCTAGAAACAAAAACCACACATGAAATTGGTTTCTAGAATGACAGTATGAATTAAAGATAAATATGCTGACAGTACCACTGGGAAAGCTGTCATCATGATGGTAAATAAAGCTAGACATCAAAAATGATAACAAATAATATTTAGGTTATAATTTGGTCAAGGACTAACCTGGTTTTGTATCCTGGGAGGCTTTTACAATGAACAACATTTGCAAACAAGTCCAGTTCTGTTCTGTAAGGAAAAAATATTCAGACTGTGAATCATAATTTCTGAAGGAAAAAGTTACTTGTTTATGGCAGGCAGAGCTTTTTCCTTTCCTTTTATTACTTCATTCTATCTTGAATCAATGAGGTGAATGCTATTTCAGTAACAGTAACACCTGCTATAGACAAATTCCCCTTGTGTAATAAGTGATTGCAAAAAGGCATGGAAATGTTACAAGACAGTGGTCATTTCTATGCTATACCTGCCTCAAAAGATAGTGATAGCCCTGCTGACAATGACCAAGTCTTAGCAACTCCCAATGAATGATTCTATTGCAAGGAAAAATACCTTCCATCATGCAATGACTGCAATATTTTTTAATCAGATGTAGAGTGTAGACATATCACTTGTTCTGACCCACAAGAAAGAGCAAAAAACTTGATGACAATAACTCTGTCAGTAACTTACTTCATTTTTTGATTTAGAGACAAGTGATCTTGACTGGAGATACTTGATGGTGTGGTTAGTGCTCCTAAAGAAACAACAGCCAAATCAACTCAAACTAAAAACATAATAATTATCATTATTATATGGCTGTGTCTCACAAGGACTGGGAACTAGCAAATTCACGAATTTGATCAGCTGAAATCAATATTGAAAGCGGTCTAGATTTTGTCATCTAGACCGGTATCTAGACTGGTCTAGAAAAAAATGGTGCAAAGAATATAAAAGATTGGCATATAAGACACAGCCATATAATAAGCATCTTATTAACTGAGCTAGGTTGGTCTGTATGGGAGAATCTTGACCTCGGTCGGTGGTACAGACCTCACTGCGTTCGGTCTGTACTGGCAACCTCAGTCGAGATTCTCCCATACAGACCTCCCGCTCGGTTAATAAGAACTAAATAATACTCATAAACTTGAACAATTAACCATTTTGATGACATTGATATTACTTTTGCAATCATTTTCAACTGTTTACTTCTACTGGGATGGCAGACCATTGTACAGCTGTTGACTATTTTAGGGATTTTTTTTTCAGTGAATTAGGAAACAAAAAAAACAAAAAAAGGAAACTTTTAGACAATGTAGTTCACGAGGCTTTGCCAAACAAATCAGTTTAATGTACTGTATAATCACATGATATACTTGCTGAAGCCACTTGACATAGAGTCAAAAGAAATCATGAACAAACAACAGAAAGGATAAGCACTGTTGAGTAAACTTCCTAATATTTTGCCGAGCCCTAACTGCACTCAGCAAAAAAAAAATTGATTTAATTGATCTCTACAGCTCTGGGAACCAACATGTATTCAGGAGAGGCATAGATAGCAAACCAAAAGTCACCAATATGGCAAAGTCAAGCAAAATCTGAAGGAAAAATTGAGTTAGTAGTGTGAGTTACTTGTGATTGTCTACTCCTACTCCTACCTTTTAACCCCACTCCAGTTTTCTTCATCGACTGAACAACGTCATCTAATGTGTATCTGCTACCATAACTCATATCACTGAAACAAAATAATTATAACAGTAAAAATCCTTAATAAAATGAACTGTATATAATTATAGCATGAAATAAGGCTGTGATCAAGCCAAGTGACCCATCCCGTTTACTGTGAATACTCTTGGGTGGAGGCACCATGAAAGAAGAGTGTTTTCCCCAATAACACAACACAGTGTTATGACCTTGTCAAGTCTCAAAAATAGACAACTCAACCAAAGTCCGGTCGACCAGAAGTATGATCATATTTCTTCCACATTAAAGAATCTATGCTGGCTATCGGTAAAAACAAACCTGTACTATCATGATGCTACCTTATCATTTAAATGTATAACGTGCCAAGCGCCTGAATATTTGACATCCGAGCTTGTAACAAGAGGCAGCGTATCATGGCGTATAACGAGGAACTTTCAACGACTTAACATTCCCCTTTTAAAACTACAACAGGTCAGAGGATCTTTTATTAAAGAAGTGTAGCCATCTGGAACAAACTTAACCCAAGATTGAAACTATATGAAAAACCAGCTTCTTTTAAGAGAGCTTTGAAAAGGTATCACCTGAATGACTTTTTATTTAAATAAGCATTCTATTTTTAAAGTTATAAGTAATTTATATTGTATATAACGTGTTATTAGTTTTGCATGTATAGTACCAAGTATGTAAATTATGTAATTGTTCACTGAAAAGCCCCAGACGGGGATGTGTTCAATAAAATGTATGTATGTATGTATTAACATGTAGCCTCACCATATAATATCCACACATTATCCTGTAAACAGGTAATGAGAATACCCAAACTTATCAGGTATAGGTTTTTCTATTGATCTAACACCAAATTCTCATTACCAACTTACAAGGAAATATGTAGCATTTAGAGGGAAGAATTATCAATCAGATCGTGGGAGTAAAAGGGTTAATCATATTTTATGGGACATACATCTGAATGATGACATGTCATAGATATCTTCCTTTCACTAGCAAGATAGTATTAAGAAAAATAGCCTACGGTAAAGTTTTGTGACTTATGACTTTTGTGATTTATGACTTACCTCACTGGAATTTCATCCCAGTCCACAGGGGTTCCAGCAGCACTAAAGAAAGGTAGAATGTAAGGTCAAAGAAGTATGGCCTGAGTTAAACAATTTAACAATATTATCTTCACCCCAATTTTAACTTTAATCAAAAATGTAAAGCATAATCATGTTAATTCTAGCTTTTACTTGAATTACATCACACAGACTTAACAGTGAAAATAACCCACTAGATAAACTTTGTTTAGCATGGGGCTGGATCCATGGGAATGGGACAGTGAAGTGAATCCTGAATTTTAACTGGTTACTCAAGCAGGGAAGATGGATCAGGATTTTCCACTGCATTCCCACTGAAAAAAGGCTTGTAACTGGTTTAAATACTGGTTTAAATTCTTTTTGTTATTGTTATGTGAAAAAAAAAGTTTGACTGGAGTGTTGGTAATACAGAGTAACAAATACATCTTTCAGTAGTCAAGGTTTCATGGATTAATCTGGCAATTCTTCAGACGAGTGTGATTATTTTGCCATTGATATAATATATTCTTTAGTGACAGAGCTTGATCAGTCAAGATGGCTAAATAAAAGCTATGTTTTTCATGTTCTTATCGACCAAGACAAATGACCTTGTGCTTACTTAAAATTGGAGTATTTTCTGGAGTATTTCAAACTTAAGTATTTCCCTGTGGAATATTACCTGAAGATTCTTTTAACACTGTATACAAGTTCGGGTCCAACTCCATCCCCTGGGATGAGTGTCACCTTGTATCGGCCTTGAGCTTCTGTGAGTGGCTCTGATACACTGCTAAATAATCTTGTCTTACACCAGGCAGCTGGAAGAAGCTGATGAAAAACAAACTTCAACATTACACAAAAGTATACTCACACTCAAAATTAAAAATGGGAGTTATTTCTCCATTTGCTTTATGATTTTCCCAGAACCCTGGAACTCAATCCTTCTTGTACAGGGGCACAAAGTGTTAATGTCATTTCACTCACAAAGTAGGAATATTAAGAAGTCTCCTTCCTTCTCACTGTCAACCTTTATGCCTGACATCAAAATGCATCTTCTCCATTCTGTTCCCTATACATTCCCTAGGGTACTGACAAGGAGAATTTGTTGAACAATCAAGAGCTTCTTTAGTTGGTGATCATTTCCTTTATTCTCCCGACCTTAATTTGTGATTTAGGGGTGATATTGTAAGGAGAAATTAGATCCTGGTCACTCTTAGGGGTCAAAGGTTCAACCAAACAATACAAACTACCACTGATTTCCACGTAAATTACAGAAAACTATCCTGGCACTCACCACTTTTTTAGTACATTTTATTCCAAAAAAACTTGGAGCAAGCTTGGTAATTTGTGCATACAAGCAAGTGTTTTTCCACTTAACAATGTTTTATAATCCCCAACACCCTAAAACCAGGACTGATTGATCCATTTCACACAGGTTATGGTTGGTTCCCAATGGTAAAATATTATTGATATTCATTAACAAAATGAGGTAATTGTAATATTACTATGATTAGAAAAATTGAGGGATACAAACCTTCTTCAAATGATATTGGTGTAACCAGGGTGAGCTAAATTACTTCGTTAACTAATTAGGAACCACCTCAATAAATGAACATAACAGAGAAAAACATCTGCCTTTATCAATAAAGTACATCTTGGATAAGCAATCCAATGAGTGAAGTGGATTGCTGTTCTCCAGGCACTTAAACTGCCAAGAGTGATCAAGACAGAATTTCTCCTTAAGAGTTATTATTATGTATACAGTAATATTAAGCAGAGTGATTAGAATGAAGAAAAATATCAATTGGGAGATTATTAGCTGATCCAATAAAAAATTCTCCAAACTAACAGCATGAAAATTGTGCGGCAAACAGTAAGGAGAAACACTAATGAAATCTTGAGTGGCAAAGTGTCAAGAGTGCAATATTAACAAGATACAGAACTTGAGTGAAAAGTTTATTCTTTCGACCCATTTTCCACTTAAGTCAAAAGAGAAATATCATTTGAAGACTCTATAGCTTTATAGGGAAAACACCTAACAGATGGCGGTGTGATCTCGCCAAGAAATCTTTGATGTTTGATATTTTCCCAGCTATGATGCTGTACATTTCAGCAGATTTCAGACATGCCATTTTTACAATCGTGCAAATTAAAACTGTGATCTTAACGTAAAATTGCCTTTCGTCTATTAAAAATAAAGATAAAATATTTTTCGGAACTGAATACTACCTGAAAACTCCGTGTCAAAGAAGCCCGGCCTGTAAAACACAACAGCTTCATGGCCGCCATGTTGATACGTATTCCGTGAAATTCCGTTAATCTTGCATGAAAAATAACAAAACCGCTGACGAGGTACCTTGAATGTTCGTACAATTTTAGCGCGGGAAAATTAGTCAGTGGTTTCAAGATGGCGGCCATTCCAACTATAAAGAAGCTTGACAAAGCTGTTGTTAACCGCATTGCAGCTGGGGAAGTAATTCAAAGACCTGCAAATGCACTGAAAGAAATGATAGAGAACTCACTAGATGCAAAGTCTTCATCTATAACGGTGACGGTAAAGTCTGGAGGCTTAAAACTTCTTCAGATACAAGACAACGGATGTGGAATCAGGAAAGACGATATGGGTATCGTCTGTGAACGTTTCACTACGAGCAAGCTAACGAAATTTGAAGATCTCAGCTCTATCGCAACCTATGGGTTTCGGGGGGAAGCGTTAGCGAGTATAAGCCACGTAGCTCACGTTACTATCACCACAAGAACTGCACAATCCAGCTGCGCTTACAAAGCGTCTTATTCAGATGGGAAACTTGTGCCAGCACGACCCGGTATGTCTACAGATCCTAAGCCATGTGCTGGCAACAAAGGCACCCAGATCACTGTAGAGGACTTATTTTACAACGTGTCAACGCGAAGAAAGGCGTTGAAAAGCCCCGGTGAAGAATTCGCGAAGATAGCTGATGTGGTCAGCAAGTATGCTATACACAATTCCGGAGTCGCATTCACTTTGAAGAAACAGGGAGAGAACATGGCAGTTGTGAGAACTGCTACTGGTGCGTCAATTTTGGACAACATTCGTACAATTTACGGAACAACGGTTGCGAGAGAGCTATTAGAAGTGAACTGTGAAAACCAAAGATATGCTTTTAAAATGCACGGTTACATTTCCAACGCAAATTATTCAGTCAAGAAGCTGCAGTTCCTGTTGTTTATTAATCATCGCCTTGTTGATTCCTCAGCAATGAGAAAAGCCATAGAATCATTGTATGAAGCTTATCTTCCTAAGAACAGTCATCCATTTGTGTATCTATCTCTGGAAATCTCACCCAGTAATGTTGATGTTAATGTTCATCCCACCAAACATGAAGTACATTTCTTGCATGAAGACTCCATCATTGAAGCAATACAACAAACATTTGAAGAGAAGTTACTGGGGGCTAATTCATCAAGGACATACTTCACTCAAACTCTTCTTCCTGGTATCCCTGTGACAGACACATCTGCAGGTTGGTTTAACTGTAAACCCAAGTAAGGGGAGGTTGTCAGGGTGAACATCCATATGAAAGAGATGGGGACAGGTATCTCCAAAAGTGTTGTCATTGGGTACTATCTAAAGTACCAGCTGCTTTGATTACTCAGCAAACAAAGCAGTGAAATACCTGTCTTGATCTAACACAAAATTTAACCTTTGACAACTAATATTTGTCAAGGCTGGCTTAAAAAAACCTGGGAAGAGTAGCAAAGTGTGCACAAATAATGCATGATTAGGTCCAAAATTAATATGATGTGTGTATTTTACAGAAAGGTAAAGTAAGATGCCTTAATTTTTCTAAAATTTGTGAGTTAAATGACATCAGGATTCCCCTCCCCCCTCCCCCTGTCATTACCATCTCCATACAACACTGTGGGTATGCTTCTGGACAGCATTCTATGCTGAGACTGAATCGGTTTCCATGACAAATGGAAATATTTTTGGTAATTAAATTTGTACAGAAAGTTGCCAGTGTTGTGATATGTGTTTGGCAGTGGTAAAACATATTTATTGCTCAGTGTTTAGTGCCTGAAATAAAAATTATATCAACTTTAGCATAAATTAGTACTGAATGAATGCTCTACCATTTTCTACTAAAAAAAAAGTGTGCACTTTATCCTTGGTTGTAAGAGTATTATGCCAGGAAATGTTGCACAAACCTGCAGAAATGATTGCCAGCTCACTGTATCAAACCACTATCTAGCTGCTTTGATTATTATATGTTGTATAGCTGAGGAAATTTACTGATAGAGTAAAGAATTTTAGAAGTTATTTCATCTTATTTTAGATTTTTTAAAACTGTTATTGATTTTGGCATGTTTGTTTCTAGTTACATCTGTTGAGGGAGAAAAATCAAATGGGGCAAAAGTTTATGCTCATCAGATGGTGAGAACTGATAGCAGAGAACAGACTCTGCATGCATTCCTGCCTCCTAAAGATCGTCCTGTCAAATCAAATGAATCTAACAGGTGTGTACAGTTGTAGATGGTTAACTGTTAGTTTCAGCAGCTGGTGTATACTTTACAAGAAATGTCTGACACTATAGCATGATGAAAGTAGGGTGACTGTCACTGAAGCTCTGTAACAATGTGAAATGTTGAATGACCTTTTCCTTGTCTAACAACTTTTCCTATTTCATTTATAAACCCTTTAAATCTCTAATTAACATGAAAGTTATCTCAATAATATCCATACATTATCCAGCAAAAGGGTAATGAGAATACTCAAACTTCTCTGGTAGAAGTTGTTGTCTTGATATAACACCAAACTCTTATTACAAATTTACAAGGAAATGTGTAGGAGCCAGAAGGGAGAATAAACAGTTAGATCTTAGGAGATTTAAAGGTGTGCACTGTCTCACTGAGCCATTCTATGAATATAGGCAGCCACTTCTTCATATAGATGTTTGATGCATAGAGAGAATACATGTAAAATGAGTGGTGCTTTATGCAAATACCAGAGATTTAAAGGGTTTACCACAGAATTTAAACCCTTCACCAAAAATTAATATCACACTCAAACATTAGCGTGGGTGGTCAAGTATAGTGTAACTCCTCCTACCGTGTGAAAATTAGAGATAAAATTCAATTGCTTGTAAATTTTCTTTGTACCAGACAACCGATTCAGTAGAAGTTTCTGATATTAGGTGTGCCTTATATTTTCAAGCAAATCTCAGCTCTCCAGTGGTACTATTAAACACAAAGCTGCTGCTATGAACCAGAATCCATCTTCAACTATTATAAACCTTGATGAGGAAAGCTCTACTTCCAAATCATTTGATGAGGACTTCTCTGAGCAGCTTGCAGGTATTCATTCAGTTTCTGAGACATTTTACAAAACTGCCAACCCTTTAGCCCCTAGGAGTAACAAGCAGTTGATTTCTCCTCACAATATGACTCCCGAAATCACACCTTTATAGACACAAGAATAAAGGAAGTGATCAGCTTCTAAAGAAGCTATTGATTGTTTAATAAATTCTCTTTGTCACCACCATGGGAAAGTCATACAGAACAGTATGGAGAATATGCATACTGATGTCAGAGTGTAAAGGGTTAATGCGTGAAGTTTATCTCCAAGTCAACCTAGATCATAATATTGTCCGAGTGAGAGAAGTCCTGGTAAGGACTGTTGTCAGCAGTGGAGACCTACATTTTGACAGCTGTGATCAGTCCCCCCTCTTATTTTGGGCACAACAAAGAAATTTCAAACCAGTAGAGCAACCTGTTAAATTTTCAAGAATTCCAAGCAGCACCTAAGAATTACAGTCAAGTCACTGACGGTTCAACTTGACAGTGCCAACTCACTGACGTATAAAATCCAGTAGAGACATCGACAAGTTGGTCTTCAACCTAGTACAACTTATTAGAAGTCAAACATGTAGAAAAGTAAATAATCTTTAGTAAAAAAGCAATTCTTTTTCCAACAAAGTTTATAAGGATCTCATGGCAAACAAAGAAAGGTAAATATCACCAATGACTATAACAGCTTCAGATGTGAACGAGTTATTGTGTGACAACAACACAGTAAAGACTCATCATGTCAATCGGTCAGATTTTTTGAAGAACACTTGGCTCGTATGATGCACGATCCTCGCAGTAGATAGCACTATTTAAGAAATAGCGAAAATCAAACCGAAAAAAATCAGGCCTGTACAGGATTCGAACCACTGACCTCTGCGATACTAGTGCAGCGCTCTACCGATTGAGCTTACAAGCCAACTGGGAGCAGGCGGTTAAGTTGATTTGTAATAAACCCGTGAAAGTGATAAATCAGATACAATGAAATATATGAAGTTCATTGTATCTGAACACTTGGCTCTTTAGACAAGATCTTTAGTAAGAAGCAATTCTTTTTATTCCCAACAAAGTTTATAAGGATCTCAAGGTGATTAGTATAGGTAATCACATGGGGCCAAGTAAAATTAAGGATTAATATATCACGTGTTTTCGGAAGTTGCTGAAATTGCCCGAGTCGCCGAGGGCAATTTCTGCAACTTCTGAAAACACAAGTGATATTAATCCTTAATTTTACAAGGAACCATGTGATTACTTGTGTGTAATATAAGGGGCAAAATGTTTTCTTTCTGATTTCGCGCAAAACAGGATGCCATTGTTACAAAACAAACAGAAATTTCTTTACCTTGGCAGCCGTTGCTAAGCAATTTTAAGCCAATCATTTTCAGATAATTTTGTCCGGGGCAATTACAAAAATTAAGAAAAAATGCCCTCTGTCTTGACCAATCACAATTCAGTAATTTTGCCCCTTCTATGATAAAAGCAAGATAAACATCGCCAATTGCTATAACAGCTTCAGACGTGATGGATGGAGGACCAACTCACAGATGTCTCTACTCGATTTTATGTGTCAGCAAGTTGGCCTTGGTTAGTTGAACTGTGGGCGACTTGACTGGATACCATAACTAAGAGGTGCATTCCCTACAGGCAGTAAATTTTATTGGTTCCTGCCTAAAATGAGAACATTCCATTTATGAGAGGTAGCAGTAGTCCAAGTTACCTTTTACCACAGAAACATGCATGCCTGTGCACTCTGGAAGCAGTGCTTTCAATAAGATTTGAAATAGGTGGGTACCTCGCTACAACACCCGCCAGAGAGCGACTTGATTGCGACTTAGCGCGGCGACTGCGACTTGAGCGCGGTGAAATATACCCCGCAACTCGCAACAGAATAGCCGCCGGAGCTCCAGCGGGTGCCAGGTCTTATTGAAAGCACTGCTGGAAGCCCCACAAATCAGTCCAGTATTGCGTCATCTTTTACTTTCAGGCTCAAAAAAGCCAAGATTGGAAGAAGGCTCTGGAAACGCAAGAAGTACGAGCAGTTCAGGAATTTACCGAGAAATTAACCTGATCAGTGTTCTGAATTTGCGGAAAATTATTGATCAGTCTGAACACAAGGGAATGAAGGAGCTTTTTGAGGACCACAAATTTGTTGGCTGCATCAACAAGTCACTGGCTCTTGTTCAACACAGTACAAAACTGTACCTTGCCAACATCACAACCCTCAGCAAGGAACTTTTTTACCAAATAATCCTCTTTAAATTTGGCAACTTTGATTTTCTACGTCTGTCAGAGCCAGCGCCAGTGCTTGATCTTGCACTTTTGGCTTTAGATTTCGAGGAGAGTGGTTGGACTGAGAAAGATGGCCCCAAAGATGAGCTAGCAACCAACATTGTTAACTTACTGAAGGAGAAGAGAACCATGTTGTTGGACTATTTTTCTTTGGAAATAGACAGTGAGGGTAATTTGTTGACATTGCCTGTTCTGTTGGATGGTTATGTGCCAAATTTGAATGGACTTCCCATGTTTGTTCTTCGTCTGGCTAAAGAGGTAAGCAACAGAATAAATTATAATCTTTTGATTTAGTTATTTTCAACCTTACATATGAAAAAAAAAACTGGTCCCTTCAGACATTTTACTTTGGCCCCATCAAGCATGAAAACATGGATTAGGCATCACTGTGGGAAATTTATCTTTTGAATGGTTTAAAAACCAACTCACTTCTCCCTAAAAAAAAAATGTCAAGTTTTCAACTCCAAAATAGAGCTCTCACTTTAATTTGCCCATCTACATACAATGCGTTTTTCTTTTTTTTTTTAGGCATTTACTTGCGTAGAAACTCCAACATCTAAATATATTCATATAAATTCACCCTTTCTGCACAATCCCATTCTTTTTAGGTGGACTGGGACAGTGAAGAGCCCTGTTTTCGAAGCTTTGCACAGGAGTGTAGCAGATTCTATGCATTTAAACCAGACCCTTTTCAGACTGACAACAACATATGTGAAGATGATGATGATGATGAGGGAAGTGATGCTGCCATGGCAAAACCATCATCCTCATGTCATTCATGGCAGTGGACTGTGGAACATGTGTTGTTTCCTGCTTTTCGTACCGGTCTTATGCCTCCCTCTCGTTTTTCAGAGGATGGAACTCTGCTTCAAATAGCCAATTTGCCAGACTTATACAAGGTGTTTGAGAGGTGTTGATGCTTTATTAAGTTATTGATTAAGATCAGCATGTGACAAAAGTCTTTGGTAGTTTGTTACTTATACAAGGTGTTTGAGAGGTGTTAATGCATGATTAAGTTAATGATTAAGATCAGCATGTGACAAAAGTCTTTGGTAGTTTGTTACTTATTGTAATGATTTGTTTGGGTTAGGAGATAAACCATTCTAGAATGAAAGATTTCACAGCATAGAGAAATTTTCAGTGGAGTGTTGAAAGTAATCTGGGATTACTTTGTTTTGATTGCTCTGTGATTCATCCAGAAATGTTGTGTCTTTCTCTCAACCAATCAGATGCAAAACTAAAACCAATTTAGATTAGGTTGCTGGCATTTCCTGTACTCAAGGCAGTTCTACATCAAGGTCTCATTGGCTTTTTTTGGGTATTTCTCCTTTGTTCTGATTGGCTGTTGTGATTGCTTTGGTTTTGGTTCTACAGTTAAACCTTGATTATCGGGACTCGTTGGGACTTAAATAGTTGGGACTCAAATAATTGAAGTCAGGATAATTGAGGTCCAGATAATCAAGGTTAAACTATACAACATTCAATCAAAAAGTGCTCTAATTAGCACTTCAATTCTTCCTGCTGTAAGGACATTTTGGTTTGAATTGTTTGCCAAATGTTTATCAAAAATCCTAATTGTTTTGGCATATTGAGCAAGTATTCATCAGTAATACCTATTTCTTCCTGACTGATCATTTAGTTACAGGTTTTGTAAATTTCATTCCCAACCTTCTTATATTTCACTACTATTATTTTCATCTCAGCTTAGTTTTGTGACAGAAGAAGGTGCTCCAACTGGGAGAAAACTTCAGTACCAATGCTTTAAAGCATCACATTTTTGCAAGTTTCATGCATAAAGAAATAACATATCAATCAAGCAGAATGTTCTTTTTACCAAACGTTTACCACCTTGAAGGTTGATTAAAGATCTTGATGTTCAGTACATCTTTAAGAAAATTAAAACTGACTCACTCAAGGAATGTCTTTATTTTACTGGCTTTCCTTTTTAATGTAAAAATCACTCAATGAAAGTAGAAATTACCCCTATTGCCACCCCTGTGCATAATGCAGTGCATTATTTTTCTTACAAGCTTTATTTAAGGTGAAATAGCTAATTTCCTAGGAAAATACCCTAAGTATCCAAACTTTTTATCTTGAACATAACATAAATAAAATATTAATTTATTTATTTATTTTAAATAATGCAATTGCTATTGATTATTTCATCATTCAACATAATCTGCTGATTTGCTTATTATCTCTTAATAAAGAATACAATCCCATTAAACAGAAAAAATCTTTGAAATCCAGGCTAGATTACATCTTGTATCATTGGAAGTTACCTGCCTGCCTGTCTGTTCATTTGGTTGTCTGGCTGTAAACTCAACTATATTAATTACTAATTGTATAAAACTCTTACATGTATGTAATAAATAAATTTAAAATAAATAATGATATAACTAACTTAGGACAAGATTAACCCCACTCTTCAAACTGAAACTTTGCCGTCTTCATGTAGTTGTATGAACATTAATGTGGAGATGTTTTTACATTTGCTGTAGTTGGGGTCAGATTTTAAGAATCTCTGAATGATTGGCACAGGGTTAAATGAAAACTATACAAAATGTGAACTAGTTTTTTGCACATTGGCCTCTCCTATTAATTTAAAGCTTAACTTACAGATCAATGCTTTGAGCACAAAACTAATACAGCATTACTCCATCTACAGTGCTTATTTCATGCTTTTTTGCTTTAAAGCAATATGTGCAGTGAACTTTTCTAATCAAAATAATTATTGGACAAATGAGTATAACACCAGCAGCACCCAATAAAATCCAGAAAGAATATCCCAGCTGAGCTTTGTCCGTGGAAGAGAACCCACGTCTTCGATCTTGAGGCCGTAGAACATTTTTCTTCAGTTGAAGTTCAAACAATGCAGCAAATAGGCAGGTGGATATCATTACAAAGAGAACTGAGAAAAAGAAGAAATATATTCCAGTCATACTTACATTGTGTAAATGTGAGTGGGTTATTTTCTGATCTTTGAGTGGGAGTAATGTCTTGTAAGTTATCGCCTAAATAAATGTAATTCAAAACCCTTTAGAAACATCACAACTGACTATAAAACAGGACCAGCTTATGCCATTTTCTGTTTATTTTGTATTCACAACAATATCTTTTTCTGACCCTATCTTGTGCTTTTATAGTGCACATTATTTTGCACTTTTTTCAACGGTGTGGAGAATTCTTGTATGTTTTCTTTGAGTTGGCCATTATACATTATAATTTCGACAAACAAAGCCTAATGTTTTTTATGATATTTTAGTATTTACAATATATTTTTCATTAACAAATTATGTATCCCTAAAAAATATGTGTTGTTTAACCAACCAGATGCCAGTTAAAAGTAAAAGTTACAACAACATGGTCACCCACAGCCTGATATGCATAAATTTGCCTTTTTTCCTGGTTGGCAACTATATTTACTTTGGATTTGATGATGCTCAGTTGAAAAAGCTCCAACTAAGATATACTTACATGCAACTCCACAACAAATATATATCCCAATAGTACCACAGATGGTTAGGTCTGGCTTGGTGAACTCATTATAACATGAAAGTCCAATCACTCTGCAGATGACAAGTAAACTGAGAACACAGAAGCCCACTGTTGCCCACATGACGTTATCATTAGCAACACCTTCAAACTCATCTTTGACTGAAACAAGACATAGGAAGATCACATTCTTATTGTGCTGTAAAGCTTAGGATTAACAAATAACTCATCAAAAACTTCAAAATTAACCCTTTAACTCCAAGATGTGATTAACATGTATCATCTCCTTACACTATCCATCCATTACCAAGCAAACAGGTAATGAGAATACTTAAACTTATCACTTTCCCTTGACAAACAGGGGATTATGTACACTGAGGGATCTCCTTAGCTATGCCCATTGAATCATTCAAGAAAACTCAATAATAATCTTCACACTTCCCCACACAGATTCATTTAATTTGTACTTATCACCTCATTTTAATCTAAATATAAACCCTCATGTTTGGCTTTCAACACTTCTTCCCTCTTGAAAAATTTTCAGTTGCCTTGCAGGTGCAGGTTTGAATGTTTTATTTAACTTTACAATAACAAGAGAGAATTATAAAAACATATCCAATATTTGTCTCTGATTTTAAAAGTGGGACAATATATTGACCAAGGCCGTAACACTAAATGCTATCATGATGGAAAATTATCTGGAATCTGAATATATTGAAAGTTAAAAAAAGCCAAGAGCTTTTTTCCCAGATATTGCACAACATGTTTGGAGATTTTTAGTCAAAATCTTTAAGTATTCTGAGAATCGGTTTGTTTTTAGGCAGGTGGCTTTAAGTCCCTATACTCAGTAGTCAAAATTATCTTCAAAACCTGACTTGCTTGGTCTCCATTTGAGACAAACAATACAGACATCTTTCACATCGACAATAAATTTGATTTTGGAACCAAAGTTTACATTTTTATTGAGCTTACCTCTTCTTTTTCGTCTTATTTTGCACAATATTACGGTGGTGGATAATTTAAGTAATACATATTATTTCAAGACTTTCTCAAAGAAATACATATATTTTTTTTTTGGAGCAAAACGTTTTAGTGATGAAAGACATTATTTTATAAAACTTTGTGGACATAGGTTCTTACATGAATAGACATAAGTTTTCGAAGATACAAAGGCCTGGTACTCAAAGTTTTTAGGGAAAAAATTTACCTAGCAACGAAATTTAATACGTACTTTGTTACATTAGCAGCTGGTAGATTCTGTGAACTCTCGACCAAAAATGCTAATTTTATCCTCTTTTCTGCCAGTGCGTAAGAAACTTTACACAATCGTTTCTGGATGAATTACATCGCCTCATAGATATTTCGATTAAATTTGTTCTCTAAATGAGTTAAGTTTGAGTTGTACCCTAGACATTTTAAAGCGATGCAATTTCTACATGGTTATAAACAGCTTTCGATTTAAAAAATATTACTTTCTTTCAAAAATTCAGTTCTACCTTCAAAGTCTCTTTCTCTAGCGCCGAGTCCAAAATCCTGCTTGCTCACACCTTTGAACATTCCGAAGTGTTTAGACCCTCCTGTCTGCGTTGAATTTCTGACTCGACGTTCCAGATCCGCCATAACCCAATATTCAGAAAGCAACGCGGCTACGATCATCACAAACGCTATAAAAGCGAAAACTGCTGCAGTAACGGCTGTACCACTGCGTTTAAAAATAGTTGCCATATCGACAAAATTGAATTGAGATGTACTTGAAGATTTTTCAGTTTATGTGGCTATAATTGTTTTCTGTTACTTTTGGAAGACATTATCTTGTTGGCGCGTACAAGTGGACACGCTTAGCTAATTAACAGCACGTGAGAACAACCAATCGCGTGACACTTGAAATCCCGCGTCCCGCTAAGACTTATTGTCCTCAGGGAATTTTGTGATCCGAACAACCAACTTTTTTCGCTGCTACAGAACAAGAGATTGAACAGTTTATAATCTCTTGTACAGACAATATCCATGTACTGAAAACGTAAACAAATTTAGTTGTTGTCAATGGGCTAAATATCCCTCATCATTCGCCAAAAACATAACAAATCCAGATCAGCTTGCCTTCGAAAATATGACTCCACGATGGGGGTTACTCATATTAAAATCTATTTCTCCACTATGTATAAGTTACATAATGCCATGAATTAACAAAATGTCATTGAATTAATTAATTAATTAATTAATTGGTATAAATTAATGAAGACTGGAAAGAGGCTAAAGCACAACATTTTAGTCCCGCAAATTGTACAGTAGCTGCTCTTTCTAGACTCTGAGGACTCCCACAATGTTTGAGAACTCTGGCGAAGACCGTGTCACAGACACTCTCCTCAATCTCTAGAGATAACATTTTAATTTCCTTTGAATATCAACATATCATTTGGCAAACAGGCGGCGAGAAGAGAGAAAAACTTAACAGCTCAAGGGTGTTAGCTTATTGTAAGCCCATTTGCACGGCTGTGCCTCATGCAGAGAGAGGACTGGGTTTGAGAGGTTCGGACCCCCACTTCCCTTCATAGTTCTCAGGGTTTTTTTTTATTACTCGTCTGAAACCAAAATTCCTTCAACAACAAGATTGCATATTACTAATAAACTTGATCTGTTTAAAATTTACCTGTCTCAAAATATTTCTTGGCTTAAGAAGACTCTAGAATGTTTACTGGATCAAAGAACAGCTGCCCTATATTGACACATTACCGACGGGATACCTACAATCAGCCGATGAACGGCCGAAAGTCAGCCGATAGCCGATCGACACTTTAATTTCCTCAGAGACCTGTTCCCGCAAGTCTTACAATAAAAGAGGTGTAATAGAAACTTCGTGTTTCCTTTCTCTGATAGCGATTTCAGCTCGATTCAATACCTGCGAAAAAACAATCGGTCGCTACTGCCAACAGCCTGCCACGAAGCCGGCCTCGCATATGCAAGGTCTGAAGCCGATGCAAATGGTAGTGTCTCCTTTGTTCCTGTAAACTTACAGGTACTGATTTCGTAAAATTTAGATAAGAAATAAAAGTAATGAAAAAATTTCAATATCAAAAGCTGCAGACGAGGAAGGAAAGAGTTCCTGAATTCTCTTACACCAGGATACACTGCACTTATGATTCCAGATTAGTTAGACACCAAAATAAGCTGTAACCAGCTTAATATATCCTTGGCATGCCTCATCGAAGTTACTCATAGACAGAATCCCCTCCTCCCCCTCCCCCTTCCTTTCGCTTAATGTTTACAAGGAAGCCATAGAGAGTAACTACGTAATCGTTCCCGGGAATGTTAAAACCGATCTGGTTTCATCGAACAAGTTTTATTACCTAGGGAAAAGAAGGAGGAAAAAGGGAGCCGGGCCCCACCCCTCCTTTGTTGCAAGCCGTCTGCATCATGGGTAGCCTCGATCCGATGGATTGGGTGAGAGCCATATATTGACGGGTAGTTTGGCATGAATTTTGTCTTTGAAAAAGACTTCATAAAAGAAGTAAATTGGTATTTCTTTCTGGTAGGAGAGGATCCTTTTGCGTCCCCATTTCTCGGCATCCCTTCCCACAAACATTTTCACTAGCATGATTTTAAGCAAGACGTTTACAGCAGGTGTACTCTTATTTGCCTTTAATTCTCTCAACTAAATCAACACTGTGGAAAAAAAATTAAAAAAAAGAAGTTGTCATGAGCAAAAGTAGTTTATTTTCATTTTGGTGTTCAAACGAATGACAGCAGACGCTACAAAGTTCAATTTTTATCTGTGCAAGCTGTTTTAGAACGCAGAGCCGTCACTATTTGACTCATTAATAAACATTGTCCAAACTTAAATGACGCAATAAGGTATTTTGCCATGTTTGCCAGCAAAACTATGTGACGCATTGTCCAGTGATTGGTTGCAGCCTTGTAATCGATATTCATGGCTTGTAAAATTTTCTCAGTTTAAACATTTCGTGTTCGAGCGACGACGTACTTGGAAAGGGAAGAGGAAAGCCGATGCTTTTTTGAGTATTTATCCTTCAGATGGACAATAAAAATGGTTAGTATTTTGTTTCCCTATACTCAAGAAAATATATGCCAGAAAATAGGCAATAAGAAGCCATAACAGAGATAGCTTCAGAGAGCACGCGGCACGTTTGCCAGTCTATCTGTCGTGTTGTTTCAAAATTTTCCATAGCACCTTCGTAAAGCTCAATTAAGAGCATTTCCATGGTTTTTTTTTTTTTTTTGCTTGCTTGTGCTACAAATTCAATAAATAAGGTCTCTAATGCAAGAAGGAAAGATGGAAAATACAAGTTAATCTTCATTCTAATTCTGCAAGCAGGTCTTTATTAGAGCATGATTGATTGAACGGACCGCCATTGTAATGCATAGTTCTGTGCCCACATATCATCATGTTTCTAAAACTGCTTTCAATTGTTTTGTTTACAGAAGAAAGAGAAGAAAAGATGAAAACTCAAGGAGATATCTACAAAGAAGACAAACTGGAAAACTTGACAAGCACAAGGGAATAGTACATCTAAAGATAAGATTTAAAGCTTAATTTGATGGAAATAACACTGAGCGACCTCTGTGTCACATTGCAATTTCAATGTACAGTTGTTTTAGCATTCGCAATAATTTTCTCGGCTTTTATTTGGAACAAAATAGTTGGAATTCAAAAGTTGAGCAGCATCAACAAACAGAACATATCAGCTTGACAACACCATTTGGGTCCTTTTGTTTGAATTTGACGGACATGGATTTCGTCGCTAAAGATAGATAGATACTTTATTTGGCACAGAATCCATAAAGCTAAGTCACATATTTACAATGAAGTTGTGCATAAATTCACTTCTCTTTTCTTCCAATGACAATCTGTCGGTGTAAAGATTTTGATGCGATCGCTCAGTGTTGTAGGTCAGCAGTAATTGTCTTAGGTGGCACTGAAAACTTTTCTAGAATCAAACGTTTCGTTTTAAGTTTGCCTGTGACGTAAAATACAAGTATTCCCATTCGGGACAAGATCCCGGCGAACCACAGCCCTCTTCAGAACAGAGTGGAGACCTAATTTCACTACACACGAAGTAAACAGGTAAAATAAAACCTTGTTATCACTTCTTTGTGTTTGTTAAATATTTCAGTGCCACCTGAAAGATTATTGAGAGCGATTTCCTAAGCAGCTTTAAGTAATGTCTGGTTTAAAGAGAGTTTCCAAAGTTTTTCTGACTTAATTAATTTTACTTGTATCTACGAATTTTCGGAAACGTTCGTAAAACTTTTGAAAAATCTTCTTTATGTTTAAATTACCCAAAGGTCTAAGAAAATTAAAATTATCAAATAAACTTACGCAGAAACGACTTAAAAACTGACGCGACTATACCTTGAGCCGGAATATCTCCTCTTACTCCATAATTTAGACTAAAACCAGTTTACCGTCGATGACTGTGACGCCGTGACGTAGACAGACTTATCTCGAACCAATGAAGGTTAACAGCAGAAGTCGACTTGCTTTCATTCTATACAGGTCTACACTTAGCTTCGTCATACAACAGTTACTTGACTCGAGACAAACAACAAGCACTGGGAGAAATAAAAGACAACGAGGGCATTTGCCATACTAACAAACGACAAAGGATGTGTTACTGTTGATATAAGCAAAACAATACTTGTAAAAAAATAAATAAATAAAAAAAAAGAAACGTAACACGCAGCAACCATGCTACTCGCTCGCAATAAAGGACTCTTCAACTGACTAAGCTGTTCGGTACAGCCACTAAGACTTTCCGATGTGCAAATGCACTGACAATTGACAATGTACTACCCTACCGTTACGACAGATGACGTAACAGGATAACTGACCTAAAATAGGACATACAGAAAAGAATAACTGTCGGAAAAGTTTGAAAATTTCTCTCATTCAACAAAACTTGACTACGACATAAAGGCAAAAAAAAAAATCGCATTTTTCAATTCTTTATATTAGATTAAATGTGATTAGTCTTCTGAAATTAAGTCGAAACAAGCACATGGCAGTTTTTTTTTGTTTTGTTTTGTTTTTTTTACTTTAACTATAACAAATCTTACGTGACCGGAAAAAACAAGCGCGCGCGCAAAAATAGTCTTTGCATTTGCTCACGTCAGCAGCGTACACCCATGGGAAAATGGGGGACGCTAAATTGACCAATCAGAGCACGCGCTTTACTTTGGTTATGTTATAAAACATCTTACGTCATAGCTGATCAGGCACTGAAACTGTGCGAGACTTGCATAGCGAGGATCAATGATTCTTCAAACCAGACATTTCTTTTATATCGAGCTAATACCAGTAGTTAATGTTATAGAAGACAAGAAAAACAGTGCATTTTTAATGTGAATATCTCTCAGAGCAAATATTCAAATTAAGAATTTCGAAATTCAAAACGAACGTCGGTCATTTACATATTTATTTCACGTGGCAATTTTTTTTTTTATGAAAGTTCTTTTGATGAACAGTGAAGATTTTAATTCTCTTCAATTGTCTGTCATTCCTGGAAAAAACGAAAATTGAAATGAAATAATTTCAGAAACAAAACCGACATCACTGATTAACACCGGGTGTTAAGGAAAAATTTACATATTTAGTTCTCGTGCAACGTTTAATACGAATAGACTTTCATTGTGAAATTTGACGAAAGTTCACAGCGAAAATTACAAAAAATTCTTTTAAATTCTTTTCCTAAAAATAGTTGTCCATTAATTGCTCGAAATACTTACGTCGAAAGGAAAATTTAACTTATTACTCATGTATTGAAACAACGCAAGTCTTAGCCAGCACCAAGACATCACGAAAAATTTACATA